TTAATTTCAAAGGGTTTAAAATAATAACATATGTTTTGATTTTCTTGCAATGGTGTACCAGAATGCTACATACATTAAACAAAAAATAGGTAGCTTTTTATGGGAATAATCACTAAGCATGATGCATGTAAATGAGCTATTTTCTATGCATGGTTGGCAAAAGTGCTAATTAAATAGTTGGTATTCAAAGCTATGCTCATTCATTGTTTAGTGACATACAAATCCAGCGATGTGTGCCAGCAGACATTTTAAGTTGAATGTTTTCTCCTCTATGCTCTTTGTCATGAAATGGTGGCACCATGATAACACTAGTGTAAGCAAAACACTGAAATGTGCTTTAATGATGTTTTAATCATGTGGCAGCACTAGTCTAGTTTTCTAATGAATTTTTAATTTCTTTCTTTTTATAAGGATGTTATGAGTTATCACTGATGCATATTAAACCATATACATGAGTCATTTTCTCAATAAATCTGCATAAAATGGCTAAATGCTAATGCACCAAATGGGGCTTACTGTATATGGTACAGTAAATATGCCCTTGCAGGTTTTCTGCAATCAGTCTCTCTTATTTCATTAGCAGCCAAATTAAGGTCTGTTCTGAAAAGGGAAAAGGAAAACTACTGTGTGTACACTGCAAATTTACTATGCCTATGATGACTTCTACCAGCCTAGAATTAGAATTTATGTGAGACTGAAAATAAAGTTCCTTGGCAAGTGCAGCTAAACAGTGCCCTGGAAAGCAGCCTAGTGATGCAAATCAACACCAGGCAGTTCATTGAGACTTTCCATGCTTAGCACTGAATGCTGAGTTTAAAATCCACACAGCCCATGATTTTAATTTTGCACTGCTTGGTATCTCTCTAACAATCCCTGCTCAAACTGTAGCCACTAAAATCTTGCCAGCCCCTCACTGTTCCTCAATGCAAGTTAAAATTGTCGTTCTTTTCTTATCGGTACATACACTCACCTCCCACCCACATTAACTGCTCCTTTCTTGACTTCCTGCTAACCGAAATTATAAACGTTGACCAACGTATCCTTAATTCAATAGCCGTAAGAATGGCATTACTGTTGCAACATTATTAATCCAAACAAAAAAACTTTACATTTAATGATGCAAACTTTGTTCTTCCTTCTTTCTTTTTGACATGTGGAAGTATATTTTTGTACCTGGTGCAAAAATAAAAAAGTGGTATTTAAAAATAAATGTATGTTTTGTCCTACAGTTATTTTGAACTAGTCTTGATAAATAATTAAGTAATGCATAATATATTATATAGATGTGATGGTCTTCAGAATTTGAGTGGTATTTCAACTACAATTATAGTAATTTATTTATCAGTGAAAAAATTTACATAATCACACTTCAAAATCCAGCAGACTGGAGAAATATCAGAAGGACACCCAGGAATGTGCATAATCACTCTGGGCATTAGATTAACTTAATAATGTAGTGATGTGCAAAATGTTGTAATACCTAACATAGCTATATTTGATAAATCATTTTTAAATGATGAAAGCTAAATATTGTTTTCACTTTTCAGCTTTATTTTAAGAAAAAGATTTTACACACAGAATAAGAATTAGACTATTCTATAGGAAATAAAGTATAGCTTGTACTAGAATGGAAGAAAAATATCAGTAAAATATATACAATAAAATCCTGTAGCCTGTCTTTTTCAACAATCAAAGGAAATGTTGGTTTACTACAGTGTCACTAAATGGTTACTTGATTTTGTGTAGTTATTTTAGGCTATCGCATTGGTTGTCTGGGGTGAAGGACAATGCAGGGAAGAAATGGAAGTTTTCTGTCTTGGTGAGACAGCCTGGTGACAAAGGTAACTACCTCACAGTAACTGTGTCGTGCTACGCAACTTCCCTCAGCCCACAAAGTCTTTTTGAGGCAAATGAGGTAGAGCTTTATGGATACCATGGAGTATAGTGAGCCCACTTCATGATGATGCACATGCAGATACAGATTGCAGGTTTTCCAAATTCAAAGTTACAGACATATGCACACCAGGTTTGTGTATGCCAATTGGTCCATGTATATGCTTCCAAAATAAAAGGAAGGTCTACTTAGCTGTCATACAAACCCAATTTATGCCATTGGAGAATTACAGGAATATAAAGGAAGACATAAATAAATATTCATATATTTCCCAACAATATATTTGCGCCTACTGGTAAAATATTGGTACCTCATAAAATTCTCAGTACTCAGATGAACAGCAGCTTGTATAATGTATGCTTACACCAACTACAACCATAGAGAAGGCGGTTTTAATTAGCTGGTTTGTAACAATTTTTTAACATAGAAAAATAGGCAAAGAATTAGTCCTGGCTCTGTTTCAGGCTGTACCAGCACCAGGTTATACTTTCACATGGACGTACAGTGAATTCTGAGATGCTACAACAGCAAGAGTTTTCTGTGACAGAGGACAGCTGAAGACAGTGTTTCATACTCTATACAAAGGAGTGCTAATTTTACATTTTCTGATGTACCACAACTGCTGCTGAGTTAGACAGGTGAGAAGGAATCACACATGTCTGATCCCATCCTCGCTGGGCAGGTTTTCTGTCACTGACTCCAGGTTTCTCATACAAGGTTATTGTGTGTTAGAGTCCAGTTACATTAAACTATGACTATTATTCTCATGATAACAATGATATTTTATAACACTTCAAACTTTAGTTTCCTAACAATAATATTCTACATGACAATGAGAGTGGAATATTTTTCATGTTAATGTCCCTTTCAAAGAACTGACATTATTAACATAATAAATGTAAATTACGTGAAAAAAACAATTTAAAAAAAAAAAAAAGATTTTAAAAAACAATTATACTCCCCCTTTCACTGGCACAGAGTTTATTCTGGAATTAAAATTATCTCACTCAGGCCAAAATGGTCCTTTTACAAAGTGCAAAATGCTGATCATGTTGAAGTGCAATGACAGACTCAGCCAAGGTTTGACCCAAAGCACAGGACATAAATTTTTTTCCCAACAAACTCTTCTTAGATGCTGAAGAAGACAAATTACTGATGGTTTCCCATAGACATTTATTTATTAAGTTCATTTCGACACAGCTTCTTCCTCCACGCTGATGTACAAACTGGAGGTCAAAAGGCTCAGCAGAAGGGGTTCCTTATCACACCCTCTTATGCATTGGCAGTTTCCCAACTTTATCACATAGGTCTCCCCATCCTGCTCACTGCTGCAACCTTACTTACATGCCACATGGCCTTCAGCACTGCTGAAACCATAATATTCTGCAAATCATTAAGCAAATAAAGATCTCTGTTCTTATCACACACAGTGCTTCAGTATAGATATTTAAATCATCTGTGCCTAGGAGGAGTGAATGCTCATTCACTGTTACATACTTCAGATTATAGTAAGAGGTGAAAGAACTGACAAAGATCATAGAATCAGAGACTGGTTTGGGTTGGAATGGACCTTAAAGCTCATCAAGTAACAACCCCCTGCCACGGGTAGGGACACCTTCCACTAGACCAGGTTGCTCCAAGCCCCCTCCAACCCGGCCTTGTGCACTGCCAGGGTTGGGGCAGCCACAGCTTCTCTGGGCAACCTGTGCCAGAGCCTCATCACCCTCACAGGGAAGAACTTCTGCCTAAGAGCTCATCTCAATCTCCCCTCTGTCAGGTTAAAGCCATTCCCCTTGTCCTGTCCCTACAGGCCCTTGTCCAAAGTCCTTCTCCAGGTTTCTTGCCAGCCCTTTTGGGGTATTGGAAGGCAAAGCATCTACACCTGGAGGAGCAAGGTCAGTTTTGTCCTTAAAACCCCATGATTCTTCCTATTTTAAATATGTATGTACTTACTAGTGTAGTCTAAACAACTGAAGAAAAGTCTGTATGGTGTAGCATGGGCACAGAAATTTCAAAGGCAAGCTGCTACAGATAAAGAAATGAACAGCATCCCAAATGGCTGAGTACCAAAGATTCCTTTGTAAAATGTTACTCCTTTGGATACAAGGCACTGGAAGCATCTACACTTTTAATCAAAGCACTCAAACTCCTTACAGTGTCCAAAAATGGGTCTTTCCTTAGAGCAGCAACACAGAGATGACCACTTCTGATAGGGTTCTGAGCTGTCTTACCAGAGAATTCAGATTACACAAACACAGCCCAGCATGGGGAGGGAAGGGAGGAGGAATTTTTTTAATATTTGATTTATTTTTTTTAAGGGGCAAAAATAAGCCCTGTATACTCCAAAGTGCTTTTTGCCGTGCCAGGCATAGTAATGGCACGGTGATGAACAGTCACCATCACAGGCAGGTAAAGCTCCACCTTGCCTCCAGAGCCAATCTGGCATCCTTAGCCCCGCTCAGCATGATGTCTCCCTAATCTGTCCTGCACCTTACAAGTTTAAACGGCCATGCATGATGTCATTAACTGCCTTTAGTAATCACTTTAAAACCCGGATTTTGAGTGTGTTCTGGGGTTGGGGTTTTTTTGTGTGTTTGGTTGTGTTTTGGTTTTGTTGTTTTTTTTTTTTTGGGGGGGGGGTGGTCTTTTTTGGGAGCCTCCCCCAAGCACACACACACTGGTGCAGAGGGCGGATCCGTACTGATAATAACTCAACTACTCGCAACGGGGTACCGGGGAGGGGTCTGGATGATGCGGGAGGCGGCTCCCCATTCGGCTGGCAGCCCTAATTAACGATAACGGCTAACAGCGGCGGCCGGAGGGGACGGGCGATGACCTGGCCGGCGGGGAGGAGGGGTCTGCACAGCCTGGGTGTCCGCGCGGAGGGTCATGGAGGAAGGATCGCGCAGCCCTGGCACATCTCGAGCGCGCCGCCCGTCTCCCGAGAAACACCACTCAGCGCCGCGGCCTCTACGAGGGGGCGGGAGACTAGGCTGGCAGCGGCCCAATGCCTGTCTCCCTGCCGCCATCTCTGCGAGGTGGCCGATTGCGGTGGCGGGAGCAGTGGGTTCAGGCCTCAGGCTTCGATGGTCGCTGCCATTTGCAGCGCTGAGCCTGGTATTCGGATGTGGGAGCAGTGAAGGGGCGGTCAGCAGCTCCCTCAGACCCAGCGTGGCCTCCTCCTTTCGACCCCCCACACCTGGATGTTGAAGGGCTGTTTACTCCATCCTTGGCAGGTCAAGATGGAGGCCTGCCCTTGCCTGCAGTGTTCATGTGCTGTGAGTGCCCTCATGCTTCCCTGCAAATCAGGCCCAAATAGTTAACTTTTACCATTATTTGCAAGGCAGAGTTGGACAGAGCTTAGAGCAACCTGGTCTAGTGGAAGGTGTGCTTGTCCATGGCAGGGGGTTGGACCTGGGTGAGCTTTAAGCCCCTTTCCAACCCAAACCAGTCTGGGATTCTGTTATTCTTGCTGTTGGATAAGGGACCGGATCTATGAATCCATGAGACCTAATGACCTGTTCTACTTTATGTCCAAATAGCACTGAAGCAGAAGAGAGCAGCCATGAGCCCTGTCTCTTGAGGAGACAAGCCCTGTGAGGTTTGGCTTACTCATAGCTTAGCATTAATTGTGTGGAATTTGGAAGAAAACAGCTTTTTTAGCATGAGGTTTAAAGACAGACTGAGCACCCTGTTCCTTTCCTGTGTGTTACATACCTATATCTCAAATGTACAGTTCAATAGCCTGGCATGAGACTCAGTCCTGCTCCCTGTAAAGCCAATGGCATGAGTTCATCCATGTTAGACTCTGACCCTGGCAGATAATCATCTCACACTACACGCTATGAATGTATAAACACACATGTATATTTATAGTTATACACAAGAAAAAGCTTCAGGAAGAACAAAACAGGTTACTGTTGATGGACAATGGCAAAGCCAAAGGGCTTCTTTCTCTTCCTTTCCCCCTCCCTTCCAGAAAGGACCATAAAAAATGCCCTTATTTTTACCTCATACATTTGCCATTTAGTTAGGAAATTGAATTGTCAAAGTCTGATGTTTTCTTTCTTCTAAATTAAAATAGTGGAGGAGGTGAGGGGTAATTAATGTGCTCACCCCAGGGTGAGCAGTCTATGGAAGTGGTGTGCATTTTAAAAATCTAAATGGACTTATTTTCACCATGTCTCTGCAGGATGTCTTTACACCACTCTTACTACCTTTCTGGAGGTAGCTGACACAAATCAGAAAGCACCTTTCAATTCATGAGGGAAGCATGGTATCTGCTCTTACAGACAGTCTACCCTTGGCTTCCCCACAGAAATGAAACATTTCATGTTTTAATTGAAACAGAAATAATGCAGATTAATGGCAACTTCAGGGAAGGGGGGAGATGTGCTCATGAATATGCCCATTCATACAAGTAGCCCTTTCTGGAGGGGTGAAGGCATTTTCTGCCCCAGCTGCCAGGTTTTGTACAAGGGGCAAGGGACTGGCAAAGGCCTGGCTTCTCTTTCTACCTCCATGGGCAATGTTTAAGCACCTGTGCTACCCTACCTCTTCCCCAAGCCTGAAGAGCTCAACTGGCACTCTCCCAGAAGTGGTTGCATGAGAAAGTCAGAAAAGACAATTTCTCCACCGCTAGAACCTGCCTGGCTACCACGCCAACTCTCTGCCTGCACCATGCACCAGCATTCCCAACATCCAGTGCTTCAGGTGACGGCCCGGCTCGGCCCGGCTGAGAAAGTGGAAGGGATGTGTTACTCAGCGCTAAGGTAGTTTACTCACTGTTTTGAGGTTTTCTGCCAGGAACTGTACAGCACCTTACAAAACACAGGGGGTAACTGCAGCCACTTAGGTTTAAAACACAGATATTCTGATGAATCACAACTCGTGGTGTCTCTGAACCATGTGTTAGTCTGCAGTGCATGTGGATGCTAAACACAGGACTAGACTAAACTGAATAGCATTCATAACAGAAAACCATTATCAAGTGGGGGGGGGGGGGGGGGGGGAATGGGAAAATTGTGAAAACTGAAAGAACTGAAAGCATGCCTCCTGGTACTGGACTATACACCAAGATGCCTTGCTGGAGTTCCTCCAGCACCTTGGAAATACATTTCCCACTGCTTTGCTGTCAGTTTCAGCCTTTTTTCTGCCAAACATTCAAGAACTCTTCCCCTATACTCAGAAGCAGCAATCCAAGGAGGTTTGAGTGCACTTACTAACATTTTACTAGTCCCAAGCTGGAGTGTAGCAACAGTTGCTGAATACAAGCTTGTTCACACAGTTTATATTCGTTATTACGTGAAAGAGCAGTTTGGTAACTTGAACTTGCCAGGAAGCAATTAGCCAGCTTTATGCTCTGAACCCCAGTTTCCATAAGAAAATTAACATTTGTCTGGATGAAATAACTCGTACATGAACTCATTTTCTTTCCTCAATTTCTTCTCTCTCCCTCCCCCCCTCCAGCCCCCCCCCCCCCCCTTTTTTTTTAATTTTATTTTATTTTGTGTATTCTAGGCCTTAGCAATGATATTAGTTCTAGTGTGGGAAAATATTATAATTGAGATCTGGTAAGTTATTTGCAGACTTCAAGTTTTTCTTTACACTGTGCTGACATTTAGTACGGCCCCAGTCAGGAAAACAATGCTGCCATTCATGGCTCTAGACGTAGATTTCAATCGACTTAAGCGGGCACAATGAAACTTGGTCATTCACTGGTTACCCATATTGTGTTCTCAAATTTTCTCGCAGCAAAAGTATAATGACTCAGTATTGTATGGTTGCATAGACAAGAGCTCAGAACAAGGGACACTAGTTTTGTCTGACGGTGTGAGAAAGTCGTGAAGGGATCTTTTCTTCCAGATGGTGTTAAATTCAGCTGCCTTTTTAACATTGGCCTTGCACAGCAATCTGCTGCTCCCTTCTCACAAAGAATAAGCCAGGGTCCCTGCTAGTTAACATGCGCACTCACGCAACCGGCAACTTCAACTGTTTTACAATGCACTAGTATGCTAAATAAACTCGGTCTGCTCTGTCCCGCTGCTGAAACTCCCCTCCAAAGAGCTGCTCCACTGATATTTACTTCTTCCCCACCCTGTTATATAAAGTTGTATATGGCTTGATTTCCACACACACACTGATTTAAGGAAAGAGCTCCTCACAGATAGATTATCTTTAGGAAATTTTACTTACGGTGTGAGCCTCTGAAAACATAAACTCCGAGAGCGCGCTGCTACATGCTCCCTTTTCCCAAGTCGGAAGTTAAATGTATAGGACAAAAGGGGGGGGGGGGGGGAGAAATGGGGCGCTTTGCTCCTACAGCAGTGAAGGAGTGACAATAGTAATAATAGCCAAACGTGTTTTATTGATTGATAGTCTCGTAACATTAAATAATGTACGAAACAATAGGACAGTATAACGCTGGTGTTTTTCTCTGTTGTTTTCCTTCACAGATTTACATCAAAGAGCAAGATGCTAGCAACAGCTGAAGTGAATAGACCCCATTGAATGCTTAAGTAAACAATGGGTTTCCGCAGAAAACAGCTTATTGCCTTTAACTGAAGCTCTTTGAGGAAGAAAACCATGCACTTTGTCATGCAAATACTAATTGTGGCAAGCAGTGGCTCTAGGTAAATAGCACCCCTGGACTGGCAATCAATGGGGAACGTGGGGGCACTCTGCGGCCCCACAAACACGCTCTCCGTGTAAATATACAAGGCAGTAAAACTTTGGCACGTGTAACCAAAAAGAGGGGGGAGTGAAGCGAGTATTTGCACTGCGGTGCGGGGATGCAGCTACGGGGACGGGGAAACTTTTGAGGTCAAATTCTTTGTCTTAAACAGACAACGCCCCTACTGCCGCCAAGACCCCGCTGCCTTCCTTCCTCAGCTTGTGGCGTGAAGGCGAGTATTCCGGCCGCGAGCCCCAAAACGAGGGGGTTTATGTAAGCAAGGTGAAAATAAATAAGTAAAAATTAAAAACAAGATGCTGCGGGTAACGAGCCCTTGATCTATGGGGACCGCTGAGTCCCACTCCTTCATCCCTCATCTCATTTTTAACCCGCCCCACAAACGAGCGGTTTCCCGCACGGCAGTGAGGTTCAGTCCAGAGGAAAAACCTTGCCTTGCACAATTAATTAACTAACAAACCCTCCTCGAATGCTCTTTGAGAGGCACTTAAACTGAGACGGACATCACCCGGACCGGTGTTCATCCCACAGCCGGGGCGGCGGGTCCCGGTCCTCGTTCCGGTCCCGGTCCCCCGCAGGGGCTTGTCGGTCACGGGCCGCAGAGGCACTGCGCTGCCCCTCGCCCCTAGCGTGGGAACGGGAGCGCTCAGCCTTTCACATCTACTGCGCGGCGTTTAACGGAATCAATTAGGCAAAGACAGACCCTGCTTCCCCGCACAGCCACCACCCTCCCTCCCCCACCGCCCCAGCCCCAAACCCGTGTTTTTGTCAGGTCTATATACGTCCTAATCATTTCAGTTTGGGATGCCAGAGCTGTTTCCTGGATAGACCTGATCATCCTTTAACAAAAAGAGAGGAGGCGCACGCGTGGGTTTTGGAGTAAATGTCACTTTCATTTCCAATGCTAGGCGCGGACTGAGACTCGGAACATTTTTTAACACTTTGACAAGGGGGGAGGCGATCTCTTCCCCATCATGTCTTTCTGCTTCAGCAGCTTCCTCAAGGAAACCCTCTCGGAGCAGAGAAGCATCTGTGCTCGCTTTTTGAATACAAGAATAAAAACCGGCCGTCACTTTTTCTAGTCTTTGTGCAGCTCCGCCGAGTTCCCAGTAGATATAAATTATTAAGCTTGTCTACACTTCAGTGTAAACTTTTTCTGAAAGCTTGCTTTCATATGAGCCCTGGTGCTTTGTCTCAGATGCACACAGGCGGGTTTGGGGTTGGGTTCAATTTTGTGGGTTTGGGTCTGTTGGTTTGTTTAGGATTTTTTTGCCTTTGTTTTTTTTTTTGGGGGGGGGGAGGGCTGCGGTTTTTTTTGTTGTTGTTGTTGCTCGTGTTTTGGGGGTTGTTTTTGTTTTGTTTTTCTCAGTTCAGTCAACGCTGTATCGTCACCACCATCATCATCACCACCAGCTACCACCTTTAAGGCTGTTTCATTATAATAAAGCACTTTGCAAAATGAAGATCAGCTTCTCCACGTAGCTGTCTGAGAGTGAATATGTATATACATAAAAATATGTCCTCTTAGCTCAAAGTTAAGTGCTCATGGTTTCTCATTTAGCGTTTATTCAACAGGAAGAGTTGCACACGCGTTGTTTACCACCAGCACCATTCCCTCTGTGTAGCTGTCGTTCTGCTGGCATTGCCATCTGCCAACTTCAAATTTCGGAATAAGTGTGCCATTTAATTTCCTCCACTCCCACCTTCAGCTGTAAAAACGTTAGATTCAGTCAGCGTTCCTGACCTTTCTTGGGTTTTTTTTTACTGTCTCTCGCAGTAATCTTTCCTTTCCACAGGCTGTACGATGATCTTGAAGGAGTTTTTACTTTCGGTTATCTAGCTTTATGAAGACCAAAACACTCATACAGCTAGATAACCAAAGATAACAACTCGCTTCCCTTAAAGCTTTTTTAAGTGTATATATATATATATATATATAATTTTCTCTTATTATAGTTTTCCTTGATAGAATCCGGATTCTTTGACAAACAGGCGTGCTCTGTCCTCCAAGAGCACCAGTGCTGCTTTATTACATTCATCCTTGCATGCAGTCGTGACCTGGTTCATGTGCCGCTGTATACGTGCAGCTAATAACATTCAAAAGAGATCCGTTGCCTTCAAAGTTTATTCCGAACTTTTCTTTATTATGTTTTCTTTTCAGCCTCCGGCAGCAGTACCCAACAGTCCGTATTTAATGGTAGAAAATAAACCCTAGATATTAAGGTGCGTCGAACGGCGTTTAAAGAGTAAGAAGAAGCATCCATTCCTTCGCAGGCCTCGATTTGCATTGTAAATCGCTGTGGTCGCACAAAAAAATTCTTTAGGCTCTGTGAAGATGTAAAGCCAGCGGCAATTCCCAGCACAGCTTAAGGAGGAAGAAGAAGAAAAAGGAAAAAAGAGGAAAAAAGAAGGAAAATAAAATCCCATTTCACTAGGACGTTACAAGATGATTCGAGGATGCGACTCCTATCCCTTCAGGTTATGCACGGCATGGAGCTTTTTAGCAAATGGTGGCGGCTTGATTGCCAGTGCCTCGCTTGCGTGCGTGTTTTGGGGGAAGTTCCTCGCTTTCCCGGGTTTCCTATCGCGATGGGGGGGGGGGGGGGGGGGGGGGGGGCAGGAGACGCGGTCCCGCCGGCCTGCTGCTGCTGCCCCCGGCCTGAAAAAAAGGAGAAAAAGGCCATCATGGGGGGGGGGGAGGGGGGAGGAGTGGGGGTGGTGTGTGCTTGTCACCGCCAAAATGTGGACCAGCCCGGCTAGGTCAGAGGTCCCGGACCGCAGGAGACCGAGGTAATGATGATGTCATGAGAAATCTCAAGTGCACGCGTCTTAATTGATGCGCACGAGCCCCATCTCGCCTCCGATCATCCGCAGCTCCCGGCTTTTACCTCCCTCCTCGCCAGCGCAGACCGCTCTGACCTCCGCGGGGACGGGAAGGAAACAACACACCCATCCTCGCTACTGCGTGATAAAAGCCCTTTCCCCGAGCCAGGGGGAAGCGTCCCTCCGCTGCAGCCCGTCTCCCCGCCCGCCGCAGAGGGGAGCTGCGGCCGCCGGCAAGGCCGGGAGCAGCACTGCGCTATGCTGCCGGTTCCCTCTCGCCGTTGCTGTGTGCGGTGTGGGGGGGGGGGGTCATAGCCCCGCACCCCCGCCGTGTTTCGCTCCTACAGGGATGCATCCGCAGGTATTTACAGCGGGCCGGACCCTCTCTGCTGGGGGAGCTGCTAGCAGCAATCTCTCCCACAGCATCCATACTCTTCCTTCCTTCTCTCAATCCCTCCCTCCCTCCATCCCTCCCAGCCACTCTGTGTGTGTGTGTCTGTGTTAGAATGCAACACAGGTGAACGTTGCAGCAATGTTTATCTAAGGCTATGCATCATCCGACGAAATGCCTTGATGAAAAACGCTGATTTATTTTTGATTAACCTCGTGCTGAGAGCAAGGAAATGCATGCTGGGGTTGCACAAGGAACCGACGGAGGCAAGTCTTTCCAAACTGTTATCACGCCTTATGAACAGCTTTAGGATGTGAGCCTCTCAGCTCCCCCTCCCCCACTCCCCCAAAAAGAACATCATGCTTTGTATGATTTAGCAGTAAAATCTGCCTAGAAATTTTCTAACTCTGAAGTGCCAAACATTAGTCTCCCGAGTACACGCGGTACAATGAATCTGCTTACTGAGACCTACCATATTTACTAATGAAATTAATACACTTCCACAGCTCAACCGGGCTGCAGGCAGTGCAGGGAACACACTGAGAAAATCCAGCACGCACAGAACATGAGCTGCTCTGCACTCCTAAAGGCAATGACGACTTAAAATCCACGGTCCTACCCACTCTTTTGAGATGCAAAATAAACCACAACATGCCATTTCAATACATTTTCTGTAAATTAACATGTGCTTCTATAGGTTGCTGGGTGTGCAGGGGGAAGATTTTTAAACGCATGGAGTTGAACTGAAATTATTATTGGTCTGTGTAGCCTGCCTGCATGATAAAGCATATGTGTGCTTGTGTGTACACAGGGGAGCCATATGTACATGTGTCAGTCTGAGTAAATGTCTGTATGTGTGTTGGTGTTGAAATATATATGTAGGTGTGTATGTGGTTACACTGTAAAATGGCAACTCTATCCACCAGTCCATTTTTATCTATCACAAAGCCTGAAAATGGGTAAGCAATCTCATTTGTCAGACATGGCCCCAAATTAATACTGCCACCGAGAAGTAACGCATAGACATTGCCAATCTGCCAAACCTCAGCAGCAATATTATGAGCAAGGCCACTTATTTACGCTTTCAGACCCTTAATCCTTTGAAACTGAGCTTTTCTTCTTGGAATGCAGGGTAACACTGCAGTTTACCACCAGTGCTTTATACCTGAGAGATGTGTAAGAGCTAACTGTGCCCATATTCTTTGTGGAAAATACAGAGACTGGAACAAAATTGTTAGAATTCATGTAATGATTCATTAGTAGCTACTGAACCTCTGAGGCTGCTCAGGCACAACAGGGACAAACAAATCAGGCATCTGATATATCCAGAGGCACATGATCAGTTTGATATTATGTAAAATTCTATAAGGTTCTCTGAATTGGCAGATAGGCAGAAAGATGGGTTTTTTTCCTGGCAATAGCTAGGGGCGGCAGTGTTGGTGATCATGCATGTGTTACGTATGATAGGCTTTTGGGCTTATGCATTAAATTCTTAGTCAGAGGCATGAAAATTCAGGTGCTCCTCATGTATATGTCTGCATACGCCCATGCTTATATAGCTCTGTGTGTACATAATACATATTAACACAGACGTGAACATACATGTTAATGCAAGCACATAAACCAAGTCACCAGACTTACAATTAAATACAAGGCCTAGTATTGCAAATTGGTATGTTTCAATAGATGAAGATACATATCCTTAGAACACCAAGTCCTTTTCTCACGACCACCTCACTGAAACACTGACTTGGGAAGGAGCTGCCACACAGCTTTTATAGATTAATCACTGGAGCCTCAGTAAAGGGCCAACATGATGATCTTGACCTGGGTGTTTATTAGCCATATTACCAGTTACATTTTCTAACTCTCAGACACACAGCAAGGCCTCAAAACCAACGGGGCCCAGTAAGACTCACTCAAAAGTGTTTCCTTATTCTGAACATCACAGAAATGCACACAACAGTTGCAAAATGTGTTTCCAAGGTTGCAGTGTTGTCTAGCACTTAGGAAGTTTGAGCAATCTGCAGTTCTGAAATTACTGCCAAAAAATATCACCTGATTTGTCAAAAGTGGCCATTTACACTGCCTGTTTTTCTCCCAGTTTACATAAACATATACAACTTATTCATTCCAAATACTTCACGTAGAAGTGATCTGCATACTCAAGATGCACAATCCAAACACAGACGTTTCCCCCTACCTATCTAATAGATTTCCGCTAATGGCCTGCAGATTAGCATGTGATTGCCATGCTTGTTTTCTAATTTTTTATAGATCTCCAGGAGGCTGTGACATACAGAAAAACACATCCTGTGTGGATTTCTTAGGAATAAACAGTCCCTATTGACTTCGAAGTTGAATGCTTATGGTTCTCAGATTATTGCCCCCTCCTAATGCCAGCATCATCACCTTCCATGGGGAAGACACAGTCGCCCTTCGGCTGCTGTGAGTTACATAGGAAGGGCATAGCATTACATAAACTCCCTTTTTGCACCAATTTATGGCAGAATTCATGCCGATGCAAACCACAGCACGCCAATACAGCCCAGGCCAGCTTTCTCTGCAGAGCATCCCTTTCCTTCTCCCAGCCAGGTTAAATCACTGGCCTGGCTTGCCTTCTAATAAGGGTGCCTTGCAGCTTCTTTTCTCACCACAGTTTCATTTCACTGCAGATTATGCTCCTGTTATGTTGAACTTATGGTATGCAAAGAGATATCTACTACAAATCCAAACTATTACATGAGAAGACAGACTGATGAGAATTCAAAGTTGGCGGCAGGGGGAAGGGGAAGAGATGGAGAGGAGAGGGACGTATTAAAACCACCGACTGTCAGTAAATACACATGGAAACACTGCATGCTGCCAAAGAAGATTACCTGTAGGTAATGCACATAGTAGTGTCAGACTTCTATTAAACAATAAAAAGAAGTTACCGTTTGTTGTCGTGGTTGTCACTCCCTGTAGTTCTGTCTGCGTTGTCTAAACCTGAAAATAGAGAAAAAGAAAAAAAGGAAAAGAAAGGAAAGGGGAAGGAAGGAAGGAAGGAAGGAAGGAAGGAAGGAAGGAAGGAAGGAAGGAAGGAAGGAAGGAAGGAAGGAAGGAAGGAAGGAAGGAAGGAAGGAATTGTAATTTAAACACTCTCAGTGTGTTTGTTCATAAAAATATATGTGAGGAGGTAAACCTATATGTGTTCAGAAGGTGCCAAGTATATTAAATGTTGAGGTTATTAAATGTATCACTACAGCACTTGGCTCTAGATTCAATTTGAATATAACTAGCTACATTTCCTGCAGATGATTTAACGCAACACAAACCAGATATGAGTAACGTACTCCAGTATCTGCAGGGTTAAATCGATATTTACAGGAAATCATGTGAATAATATCATTTAAAAAATAAATTATTATTTCCGGAGAACCAGACATAAAAAAAGGTTAAGAATATTATTATTGTTTGGGGTTGCTGAGCAGAAGTGACGAAAGCTAGGGAGGCAGATGCAGGATTTGAATACTATAAGATGCCAGCTACTTAATAAAGGATGGAGGCTCCACCTAGCCTTCAGTTCAAAACACGCAAACCACATTAAGCCAGCGCTTTTTTGTTGGATTTCCTAGACTTTTCCAGACCTGGATCACCGGGAAGCCATCCTCTCTATTCACAGCCCTGTCAGCTTGCAGAGAGCTGAGAGGGTAAACGCACACAGCGTAAGGTAATCGCTTTTATTGCATCACATTGATTACACCAGGCACATCTTTAAAAACTCATACTATTACTGTTGTCGGGAAGCTGTGTTACAGCGAGGAGGTTTCACCCGTTTCCCACCTCCGCTCCGGGGTGGACCGGAGTTGCAGAAGGTGGCTACTTTTTTTGGGTGGGAGGGAAGGATCAGGGAGGGAGGGGTGGAGGGAAAGATGCAACGGAACCCCTGGAGGTGTCCACCGATCCAGCGATACCTGGGGCCGGGGTCGGGAGCCGTGCTGGACTTTGGATAACCCGGGAAGTGATGGCTGCTCGCTCCAATTGACCCTCTACGCGGGAGGCAGAGGATGGACAGGCTGCAGTGAGCAATCTGCATCCCTGCCCGCTGCAAGACATCGCTTCATCTTCTTTCTCTTTTTCTTTTTTCTTTCTTTTCTTCCTATTTTTCCTCTTTTCCTTTTTTTTTTTTTTTTTATTTTTTTTCCTTTTTGCTTTTTATTTCCCCCCTTTTGTTTTTAAGCTGGAATATGGAGGCCGCAGGACTTAGTTCCCACACTCCAGCCCTGCGAGTGATTGCCCCTCTGCCTGCAACACCTTTCTGACTGCACCCAGCCACTGCTAAAATATAAGGGCTCCCTGAAAAGCCACATCTCTCCTTTCGCCGGGCAATTATAACTGCTTTTGCATACTAGCTATACCCCACACGACCAACAGGTTTAGCATCAGGGGCACAAAAGTGTCAGGTCCTAAACCCTGATTTAACAAATCAGATTCCTCTCGCCGGTGGACAGTGGAAGTGGTCGGGGCGACTCAGGAAACCCCTGCCTGCCCGTGCTCAGCATCCCTAGTTATTTCAGGGAATTTCCACACCCCACACACAAACATCACGGTACTTACATTTATCCGTCTTTATCAGAGGAAAACTTGACCCCAGATCAACAGAGCTCAGGGTGAGCTAAGCCTCCGGTGGCAAAGAAAGATCCTCACGGCCAAGGACCCTCGGAATAGAGAAAGCTTTTCCACATCTCCAGAAATTCACGTCTTTCTCTTTGACACCCTCATTTAAAAGTGCTGCTTAGCTCCACGGTGTCATTCTTGGGCGGGAGAGTTGGAAATCTTCCATCCAGAAAAAAACAAAACCAAACCGAACAGAGAGAAACGCAGAAGTTGGCTTCGGTTTGGCTCTCTTTTTATTTTTATATTTTTTCCTTTAATTTTACCCCTTTTTCCGCCCTCTTTTTTTTCCATATGGCTTCCTGCGCCCTGGAGTAGAAAGTGGAGTGTTGTATGCTAGGCTCTGCAAGTTTTTTGGGGGGTTTGGCCAAGGTCTAGTCCAGCCCTCTCTACTGAGGAGGACGTGCTCTGAAATTCAACCAATTTCCCCAACGCTTTTGTTGCTGATGGACTGAAGCCCTATTGTTCATCCATTGCCACGGTCTTTTTCAGCTCCTACTATACGTTGTGCGTTGCCAGAGATTATGAATTTGCACCAAAAACCTCTTATAGTCCCATTTTGACAGACGGAACAAATCAGAAATGGCTAGGCTAAAGAAGAGCAATGACTACCTTTGCCTAGAGAGAAGAAGGAAATCACGCATTTCTTTGGAAACTTATATATATATATATATATATATATATATATATGTATATTTCAGCAAAAGGTCGAAATTTAGAAGTTGTTTTTCCTCCAGCTAACTTCTGAAGTACAGTTTCTTTCGGGTCTTGTTTTGAAGAGGCACTACCATCTTGTGCAACTTTTGTCCGACCAACAGCAGGGGAAAAAAAATAGAAAGAAAAACATCAAAATAGAAAAATTGATGGTGCTGACAAAAAGGATTCTTTTCCGATCCCTGCCGTCATGCAAACTTGAAACGTGATCTCTCGTCGCTGGAAGGAGGGTACCAGTTCCTGCCGTCCGGCGTTCCGGGTTTGGAAACAGCGTGAAAACACTCCTCAAAGCCTCTGTGGATTTTAGAGCACGCGGGAGGGAATGTGTGTGTGTGGGAGGCTGAAGGGAACAAGGTAAGGGGGTGCTGGGAGAGTTTGAGTGTGAGAGGGAGCGGGAGTTGTGCGGAGAGGGAGGGATGGGGGAACGGCGAGTTAGAGAAAGGATGGAGGGGGGAAGAGATGGACAGGTGGAGGAAAGATGGAGGGAGGGAGAGATGAAGAGGTGGAGAAAAGGAGGAGGGTTAGAGGGAGGTTGTGCACGTCGAGGGGGTGCCGTGCTGTTCCCCCGTCTGTCCCCCCAAATCTGGCGTGGCTTTAATACGGCGCCCCGTCCCCCCATGGGCAGGTGACAAGGGAGATGGAAGGGCTGAGGGGAGGGTCGGGCGGAGGGAGGGTCGACCATTATATATATATAAATATATACACACATACACACATGCTACACTGGGTCATATATCCATGTAAATATCTATGTATAGATGTGTATGTGTGTATATGTACATATCTGTATATATGTCTGTATGTGTCGGCAGCTGTGTGTCCCTCCCGCAGCGCGGCTGCAGGCAGCGGGAGCGGATTTCCGCGGGGACAGCGCAGACATCCCGCCGCATTCCCCACATCCTTCCCTGCATCCCCCGGGCATCAGCCCGCGGAACTCCGCGGACAAACAGAAGCTCTGCCAAGAGCAGGACGCAATCCCGGGGTGAATGCAGGCAATTCAGGAAGAGCGCTCGGATGCACTAGAAATAAATAATAATAAAAAAAGGATGCAGAGGAGATTTATGGAAGCCTACACCCCTCACGCTGCCAGAAGTCCAGCCGCGTTTCACTAGTTGGCTCTTTAGGGTGGGATGAGATGCCTACTTGGAGGAGTGTGCAGCCGCTCGCTGGCAGCTGGTTTGTGCCCAGATCCAGAGGGATGCTCTGGAATATCTCACGGCAGGCTAAGAAATACGTAAAATAACGCCCGGAGGAAAGGAGAGAGGCTAATGGGGAAAGGCGGGGTGAAGTTCTTCCCCCTGCCGCTAAAAGTTCTCCCAGCACCCGTGGCACGCCGCCGCAGGGAGAAATGGGAAGAGAGGAAGAGTAGCAGGAATCGCCCTCACACAGCTTCTGCCTCCGCCGGACACCCGGTCCCAGCTCATACCACTGCTGCTCTCCATTGAGCTGGTCACTGCACTGCCTCTGTGACTCGCTGGTAAGACCCCCTCTTCCCGCCTCCCATCCCTCAGCCCGGCGGAGCACCGAGCCCCGATACCCGGCTGAGCACCGGTGCCCGCCGGGGAGATGCTTCGATTCAAGTGGCTCAACACGCCTGTGCCGTGCAGCACTTTGGGGAGGTAAGAAGGTTTTCGGCTGGGGTTGGTTTTTTTTTGTCTGTTTTGGCTTGCTTGTTTCTTGGGGTTATTTTTGGTGTTTGCTTTATATTATTTATTTTATTTTACTTTATTTAAGTTTAGTTTATTTATTTTTTTTTTATTGTTTGTGCCTTTTTCTTTCTTTTCTTTTTGTTTTTAATGATCATAAGTTTTCCCTTTCCGCTTGCATCCTGTTGACTAGAAGCCGCAAATAACGTATCATTACAAATAAATAAATAAATAAATACACTTAAAAAAAAGAAGGAGGAGGAGGCAGGACGAGGGCGGAGGTGCTGTGGGGAGGGGGACTTTGTTTTGGCGCCTCGGGGAGGAGGCGACACATGAGACGGGGATGGGCTGGCTGCAGCTGCCTGTGCCAGTGTTCATTCCACCGGGCGAGGGTAGCGGAGCAGAGCGGGCACAGCGCGGGGAAGAGCGGAACAGCTCCCCCTTAACCTCCCCCTCCCATCCCTGCTTCACGTTCAAGGTTTAGCGGCGAGATCACGTCCATTGACGTCATCTCGAGGCATCGCTGTGCATCCGGATACATTCATATACATAGAGGGAATCAGGGCATTAACACAATAAAAAGAACACGGAACATGTAAATCCCTCCGCTCGGAGAAGAGACCGCGGACCCCCGGAGCTACCTCCCCTAGAAGATCCTAATTAACGGAACAAGTACTAGAGCCGCCCCCCCCCCCCCCCCCAACATCATCATCTACACAAATACCCCAGAAATGGCCAATTAGGCAAAAGAAAATCCAGCCACCACCGTTTTAAGGTATAAAGGCGATACAGACATGCATAGATAGATAATGCGTGCAATGGGGGCTGTGTCACAGGATTCATAATACCTCACCCTGTATTACGGCCTGTGAGCACATTTATATCACTCTTGATTTCAGGGACATTTTATTTCAAAATCTTCTCTTAAAACGTGTACCTCCAGGCTGGGAGAGCTGTCTCCCAGGAACACAATTGGAACATTCTGCCTTAAATACCGCGTTATTAAACTTGTTGCCTTCCATTTTAGCAGGTGCAGCTTTAAACGCACCACCTGATTCTTTACAAGGAAGAAAGGCATTTTTACAGGTCGTTTAAAAATACTGCCTATAGCATTACTTTTGCTTCATCCGAAAATATCCACAGGCGTTGAATTACATTACAAACACAGATAGCATGTCTCAGTTTGCATTAACAGTGAAATTCTTATGAGGAAGAAGAGTGGTTTAAATCCCTTTCTTATGTTGTACAGGGGCGTTATATTTTTAAGCCAGCAACGTTATTCCACGAAAATAAATGTTATATGTATTATACATAAAACATTATATTACTATATGCTATATATTATATACTATAAATGATAAATTATACCTGTTATATATTACATATATAGTATATATATACATAAAGGTCAAAGTGCATACACAGATAATTATTTTCCTTAGGAATTACTTACCTCCATGAATGTACAGGGCAAGTTAGTCCCCCCCCCAAAGACTGTCATGCATGTTTCTATTTATTTATAGATTCTTAATATCTTATATAAATATTTTTATATATTTATTTTTAAATAAAGAGCATGCTCCATCTGTGTGACTCCGTGCCTATTTCCCCACATGTGTACACTTTGAATTCTTTGGCGTGGCTACCCCATTCCTGGCAATGCTCAAGGCCAGGCTGGACGAGGCTTGGAGCAACCTAGTCTAGTGGAAGTTGTCCCTGATCATGGCCGGGGGTTGGAACTGAGTGAGCTTTAAGGTCCTTTCAACCCAAATCAGCTAGTGATTAGTACAGTATTTCCAGCGGTACTTCTCGCCCTAGTTTTAACAAGCTCCGCAGTGATAAGTCACCCAATCAGAAGTGGTCAGACAGCTATACATAAAACGTTAAATAAATAACCAAACAAACATAAACCAGACACAAACCCAGCACCCCAGGAAGGAAGCTAGCACCACCACCCGTCTGATTTACTCTTACCCTACCTCATAACGCTCATTAAGAAAGTACCTTTTTTACGTTTTTTTTGGTGGTTGTTTTATTTTTGATTTTTTATTGTTGTTGTTTTGTTTGTTGTTTCCCTCCCCCCCCCTCCCCCAATTAGCGGATGCCGGGGACTCCCGCCATCCCAACCCATCATCATCCTCCCCTCACTGCGCTGTTAATTAGCTCATGTGTAGCTCTCAGATGTCAGTCCCTCCCTCCCTCCTTTAGCATATACAGGGGAGGGGGGAGCGCAGGGGTGTACTTCTCCGTGATCCCATCGTGCATCCTGCATCCTCATTCTCCTCCTCCCGCTTCCCCCACTCCGACTGCCGTCTCTGCGCTCACTGACCCCACGCCTCCCCGCGGCCCCGACGGGACTAAAATTCCCCGCCCCCCCCCCCCCCCATAAGGACCACCCTCCTGGGATGGGATTGCCGGGGCTCCGCGTCTCAACATCATTCCCCACCCCCCTTCTCCTCTTCCTCCTCCCTTTCACCCCTCCCCGCATTAGCGAACAGCGGCCCCGCGAGTAGCGGCGCCGTCGTTTGAATGCGCCCCGTGCACTGAGGAGGCAAGGGTGGGAGTAAGGTGGGGGGGAGAGCGCCCCTTCCTCACCCTGTCTCTGCCTCTCCCCGCACTCCCCCGACACTTACTACTTGGACTCTTGGAATAGGAACAATAAATACACCCCGCAGCGCACTCGTTACTGAGTATCAGCCTTTTCACAGCTAAAAAGAAGGGAGCGTGTGTGTTCTGCGGTCAGCCGCGCGAGTGCCACAGAAGTTGGAGATTGCGCGGATTTCTACCAGGGATAGGTAAATAAAGAAATTAATACATAAAAGCACTAAATAATGCACAGTTTTGGGGTGGCCGCTTCAGAGCCACGGAAATGAGCCGAGATGCTGGGGCTGACAATAATAATGCATGAAATAGTTTCACTTCCTCGCCTTATTTATGTATTTATCTATTTATTTATTTATCTCTTTATGTGTTTATTTATTTTGTCCTCCATGCTTTTAATACCCCGATTCCTCTAAAATTAGTATTCAGCATTTTGCACTTAGATTTTCTCCCTCTTCTCTTCAGCCCTATCTGTCTTCTTATCAAAAAGTATAAATAATCGTGACTCCCGGAACGGAGGAGGACAACTATTTTGGCACATCCTCTGCACACAGACATACTTGTTTTGGCATTATTTGCATTACATTATTTAGAACACGTTCAGAAGAGTGAAGATGCAGGTATACAGGAAAGTGGTGAGAGGCATTTTTTATTTATTTATTTTTTCTTTCCTTTTATCTCCTCTGGCAAGATATAGAAACTGAAATGGAAAAAATGTAAATGGCAAACACATAATATTGGGTTACGTAACTAAAACATGACATGAGAAAAAGAAGTGGTTGTGGTTTTTCGTTTTTTTTTTTTAAGCAAGGAAAATGATGATTTTAGAGCTTTCTGCCTACACACACACAAATATTAAATCGTAATTTTAATTCCTTGCACTAGAGCTTCCCGTGCTCAGGGTACCCCTTCTTTGGACTTAATAAAGCAGACCCCGAAGCCGTACCCCTCCTCTCTGGGTAAGCGCATCTCCCCTGATCAGAGGTAGGAAATGGCAGGGTAGGTGGCGGGGAGAACTGCAATACTTCCACCCAGGCTTCAAAATGCTCGCTCAGTGACGCGGTTTCCGGGCAGTGATGTGCAGCAAACTCTTTCCCGGTGGCGTTTTATTTGTCTTAGCAGGCAGAACGCCAGCCCCAGCACCAGCCCGGAGGAGGGTTTTGGCTGCCTGAACCGGCAGAAGAGCGACGAGCCCCATTTTCTGCTCTTTTATTTCCGCCGTCTGTTTACACAGAGGCGGGAAAGAGCCCACCAATGCAGGAGAGGTTTGAAATGCGCGGTTATTTCTCTGGTTTCGGTGATTACGGCCTCAAGGGGAGGAGTAAACCTGATTTTTACTGCAATTCCGGTCTGGAGGGTTTCTCTCCGCACACTTTTTGCATCCCTGCGGCAGGCCGGACCCATTCGCGAGCAGGGGGAACAGGGGACAGGACACCCCGCTCCAGCACCCTGGTACCCGCTTTCACGGGATGCTCCGGACAGATCGGGCTCCGGCTCCCCCGCGGCAGAACAGCGACGCCTGTCGGGACCCGCGGACAGGGCCGTCACAGTGAGACGCAGGTACCGGAAGGAGCAGGCAGGGGAGGGTAGAGGTACCTTCAAGGGGGGGCAGGAGAAAGCAGAAGAGGGCAGGAGAGGGCAGAAGCAGGCAGGAGAGGGCAGCGGAGGGCACGAGAGGATACAGCTCATAGAAGGGAGGAGGAGCGAGCAGACAGACGACAGGAGCTGGCAGAATAAGCAGAGACGGTAGAATAGGGCAGAAGCTGGCGCAGCAGGGAGAACGGGCAGGAGAGGGCAGAAACGGGCAGAGGATAGCAGGGGAGGGAAAAGGAGAGCAGGAGAGGATAGGAATAGGCAGGAGCAGGTAAAGAAGACAGAGGCAGTCAGGAGCAGGCAGGAGAGAGGACAGGATGGGGGGTCAGGACCTGGAAAGGGAGGACAGGAGAGGGCAGAAGAGGGCAGAAACGGTCAAGGGAGGGCAAGGAAAGGCAGGAGAGGACAGCTGAGAGTAGAGGAGGGCAGGAGAGGATAGGGGGAGCAAGAGAGGGCAGGAGCTGTAAGGGCGGGCAGAAGAAGGCAGGAGCTGGTACAGAGGATAGAGCAGACAGAGAGCGGGTAAGAGTGGGCAGGGGACGGCAGGGAAAGCAGGAGAGGGTAGGAACAGGCAGGAGAAGTTAAAGCAGGCAGAAGCGGGCAGGAGGCAGTAGGGGTGGGTAGGAACAGGCAGGAGCGGGCAGAGCTAGAGAGCAAGACCCTTCGACGAGAGCTGTGCCCTCCGTGGCACGGCTCCCCCAACGGGTAGGTGGTTTCACTGTTCGCAAATACCGCCCCTCACCTCCGCTCCTGAGTCCCGCTCCACCAAAGAATAATAATAATAATAAATAAAACCAACAGAATTATAGAGCATGGCGGGAATCATGACCAGTTCCTGGCGGGAATTTGCCTGTGGCAGAGCATCCCCGGGTGATGGGCAGTACCCTGTCCCCCCCAAGGCAAAGCACCTTCCACACACGGAGAGAGGGTAAAATTTTCACCCCCATGTTAATGGCCTGGGTCAAAACAGGGTCTCACTGCGCGGGTGCCTGTTCTAAGAAAATCCGGGCCGAAGAATGTGGGGAGGGCGGATATCCCAGGAACGGCTACTTCAATATTCACCTCGTTCTTTACTTAATTTGTACTGATACTGCTTGGAAAGACCTGTTTTCTCGGAAGCACTTGCTAGCTGAGCCTAGGAGGCATTGCCTTTCCCCGATTCTACCTTTCTCTTTTTAATAATAAAAATAATGATGATGCTAAGAATAATAAAAGGAAAGGTTTGGTGTTGAATATAGGCAGATTTTAAACTTAGGAGTGGCAAAGAGAAGCTCTGACCGGGGTAGGCTCTCAGGGGGAAAAGATGTTTTAACTCACGAGAAGTTAAACGTTATGTTTGATTGGATTAACCGCCACTTCTTTTTTGTTGTTGTTCTTCTGGAATTTCATTAACTGAACTTCCACCAAGTCGGTGTGCTTTCAGCACTGATTTCCCAAATCTCGTTCCAGGAATTTAGTTTTTTTTTTCGTATCTCTGCAGGCTGCGGAAAGAATGACCTGGCTCTTTCGGAGCATGTTTCTTCTGGTCCTGCAGGAGTTTATTTCTTCTTCTTCGAATAAATATAAATAAAATAAAAAAAACTCATCGGCGTTTCACAGCGAAGAAAGCCTGTGGGAGCACTAGCATCAGGTATGTATAATTAAAAAAAGGGGTAAATATACTTAAATTAAGGAGCAGCGTGGCCAGTATATGAGGTTTCAAAAGCAAGCGTGATAACCCCTGGCAAAGGTGCCCCTGTCAACTGACCTGGGGCATTCTCTGGGAGCTGGGGAGGTGGATAAACACGGTTAAAAGCAACAGCAAAACGCGGAGGGTCTGCGGAGATCCCTCGGTACGGGGTTCCCGTACCCAGCCCAGCGCCGGGGTCGTTCTGTGGGGAAGACTTTGTTCTTTTGTCCGTCTGTCGTTGTTCTGTCCGTCTGTCGTTCTGGGGAAGACTTTGTCCTTTTGTCCTAACTGACTCCCGGAACGGCCGAGGAGGACTGACGATTTTGGTACTGAAATGTCACTTTAGCCACGGATCTCACTCACTTTGCCCTGGGGAAGAAACTCTCCCCCCCCCTCTTCCCCCAAACCTCCCCACTGTGAGAGCGGACGGACAGATAGACGGACGGCGCTACTGCCTCCGGTTCCCACGTTGCCAAAGCACCCCCGTCCAAACCCTGTCTGTGTGAGGCGCATACATCAGACAGCAAACACTTTCAGCACTCCACCAGCTTAATCCCATGGCTGGTTTCCATCCAGGAGCATAACAAGTGATACCGGACACCAGGGTCAGCGCTTGTCGGGCACCACCTCTATCCCCCGAGAGGGCAGCTGACAGGGTAGGGCCCCTCAACCTGTGAGCTACGTTCCGCCCCGGTTTCCCTCCCCAGCCTTCCAACGAAGGAATCAAGACGCGGAGCTACGAGCGAGCCAGGAGCTGCCAGCCCGCAGGCGCCCACCGGGGATACGAGGCGCTCACCGCAACGCGCCCCTTGCAGCTCGCTCCCTCTCAATCGGTCAGGGCATCTCCCCTTGCGGGGAAGGCGGCACTCCCCAGGCCAGTCCCACCACTCCCTACCCTCTTCCCTCAGCAGCCCTGTCCCCTCTCCCTCTGCTCCCTTTCCCCCTTCCCTCCGGTGAGATGCGATGCTCTGTGAGAGCACAGCACAGACCCCTTCAGTGTGCGTGTGAATTTAAAGAGCCCGTAGATGAGATCTCGTCAGCTGATCCTCCTCACAACCCAATAGCTTCTACCCGTGTGAATAACATTTGTCACTAAGAAATTAAGGGGTTGTTACGGAGAAAAGGGGGACTCGGTGGAATCCTCCCCAGGTCGCCCTGTCGCCGTCTGCGATTAACAGCTCCCCCCCCCCCCCCCCCCCCATCCGCTCTCGGCCCGGACGTCAACGTCCCCCACGGTGTTTTTAGGAGCACGGGGCGCCAGGGAGATTTCCCACCTCGCCCCCAGCCCAGGACACGCTTCGTGGTAAGACGGCGCAGCTGCGATTTACCACCCCCCCTCCCCGGCAATCCGAGTATTGACCCCCCAGCCCCGCTACTCACCGCGGTCCCTCCGCAGGGGTCCAGGGTTAAGCTTCTCCAGAGCAGCCCTGCTCACCCAGGAGAGGTAAAGCGGAGGAAGGAGGGGTGGAGGAAGGGGGGTGGCCACGGTTATGCCCCACTCTGGACTGCGACGTGTCTCCCTCCTCCCCTTGGCCCCGGCATTTCCCACCCATTCGCAAACACACCGCCCCTGTCCCCATATCACCCGATGGGGGCGGTTGGGGGGGGGGTATAACTTTTTTCGGGGTGTCCCTTCCTTCGGGACACCTTCACCCAGAAGTCAGGGCTCAGCCAGGAAAGTCTCGGATTTGAGGCCAAAAGAAGGGGCTAGGTGGCTACCCCATGCCACCAAAGGGGCTGCCGCCGGGGCTCAGGTGGGCTGTGGGTGGTGGGGAGTAAAGTCTGTAACATCGCTTCCCCTCTTTCTTTTTGGGAATGGTGGTGCTCCTACCGGTGCTGTTAATGAAAGGCCGCTGCAAACGGAGGCCGGCAGCCGGGGAAGGGGGACTGGGAAAGGGGTAAGGGGGTCTGCCCCTCGTTGGGAGAACCTGGCTGAGCATCATCGAGGGAGGAGCTCTCCTTGGACCCCTGGAAACTTTCATTGCTGCAGACACAGCGATTCCCCCCTCCAGGTTTCTTGTCTGAGGGTTTCTTCCGTGAATTTCTCGGAAGGGCTCATGGAAAACCTGCTCCCACAGGGACACCCTCCCACCCCCTCTCCGCCACGGTTTGCAAGACAGATTGCATCATTCTCAGCCTCTGCAGTGTGAATGACGGCAAAACATAATTTGCCATCCAGCTAATTGGGTCAGAGGACAGCGCATCGGCTGTGGTTTCGGTGCGGTGGTATGAGATTCGTGTCTGTAACAGAGAGGAGTATTTGCCAGCGCGTTTCAGGGTGTTAATACATCATCTATCCCAATAAGCAAATAGTGTAGCAAGCGGTTCAACTAATGATATCGAAATAAAATTCATCAGTAAGAATTGCATTATATTTAAAAAAGAGAGTGCATTAAAAAAATAAAAAAGGAAGTATTGTAAGCATTCTATATCAACCTATACTATGTTCAGAAGTAAAGTCTTTCTCTTGGATTTTGGTATTATACAAAACGACTCATACAGTAAACACAAACGGCTGTCAGACTAAATTGAGAATTACTGTTATTTAAATTACCAAAATAAAATCCATCAAACAATGTTGTTCATTCCAAGGAGCATGGAAACGTTTTCCTTGTAACTCACTTACTTTCAAACAGAAACTAATCCGTATTGGAACTGACTTCCTACCAAACCAGAAGCGTTGGCGTCAGAACAACTGCCTGCACATTCTTGCTGTAACATGCCCACCTGAAGCAGGTCAAAAAGAACAACCAACCTTCTGAATTTGTGATTTCCCCCCCCCCCCCCCCCCCCCTTACCCTGTCTATAAGCGCTGCTATTGGTTAGATATAGTCACTTTCTCTGGTTCTCTGGTGTCTGCATCCTCCTGAATACACATTCAAATTTATTCTTCAGGGTAGTTTATAAATACATCAATAATACCAGGATGCTTTTTCTTGTGTTTTTTTTTTTTTCCCCTCTTTTCATCCCCCTTTTTTTGTTTTATTTTTAAAATGGTATTTAATTTATTTATTTATTTTTAAGTAGTGATACATGGAAATCGTTTTCGACTTCAAAAATCAGCTAACCTCTTTTGGGGCATGTCAGCTCCAGTGTTGTTAGCTATCAGTTGCTGTAGAGCTCTAAGATCTCAAGCGGGAGAGTGAGGGGAAAATGGATTATTAAGCATGGACTCATCATCAGATTGGTTGTCAACCCATTTAAATCTGTGCAAATGGTTTTAAAGGTGCAGAATAGTAAGGGCCAGTTATTTAAGTTACAAAGGTGTGTGGCTGTTTCAACTTGTAACTCAAACTCATTTAATCTCTCTCACACAGGCCATATATATACCCAAGCTATCTTTCTCGATATAAATATATACCAATTTTGCTCTATACATATGTATTTTGATTTCTCTACATCTACCTCTATGTATCTCAATATCTCAATAACTAAATACCCATATTTAACAGGAGATGAGTCTTGTATACCTATATGTACATATCTATGTCTAGTTTATCTAGGTACCTATAGTTTATGTATGCATATATCTATATATATAGCAGGTAAAGGCAAGGTATTCAGGTTTTTCAAATGAATTTAAAGAGGTCTGGAGGATTTACTGAAGTTAAAATTGTTTATTCAAGGATTTATTAGATGATTCTGGTACTGCAGTTGTAGGTCACATAATTATCAGAAGCAAAACTCTCGCCAAGAAGCTGATGCCTTTCAAATGGAGGCAAAACATTTTAAACCCTATGTAATAATTATTCTGGTGATGTAAACCACTTTAGTTCTATTTCCATCTTTCCTCTAAAGATTTTTTTTTTTCCTCCCCAAAACTGCTCTTGTAAATAGTATACCCCAAAATGAAGGCCACCCAAAACCCGCCTAATTGGTGGTGGGAGCCGGAAACGGGGTCGTTGGTCGGTCCTTGGCACCCCCTGGGGAAAATTCGGTTTAAAACAGGACGCGTTTCGTCCTCCCCTTCACTAGACGAAGTCACTTCAAGTACCTCATGAGTACAAAATGTGTTATTGTTCCTCGGTTATGTGAACAGCTTGACTCCATCTCTACAGCTCGTACTTCAGGGATGGAGTCAAGCATCCTGCAGTACCAGGATGATGTACCAAGCAGGATGGAGTCAACACCTGCATTAGGCGAGGGGATGCTCTCCTCGAGGGAGAAACGAACAAAGATATAAAGTTTGCTGTATTCTTAGGAAGCCGGTTTGTTTTGAAGCCAGAGTGGAGAGCTATTATAAAATAAAATGTGCTTCTTTAATGAAGAGACCGGTGATGAAGGAGAGAGGGGGCAGCGAGCCGCGCCGGGCGGGACCGTCCTGAGAAGGTGCTAACCAGCTCATCCCGAGGCGCATCAAGCGCTTCCTTCAGAGGAAAACTGTCCCGTGTCAGCAGAGATCGCTGAAAAAGAGGAGTTAACGTGAATTGCTTTGTGGGTTTGTTTTTTTTTTTTTTTTTTAGGGTATGGGGATCCTTTCCTTTCGAGGTACACTTAAACGGCATAATTTTCCTCAAACGGCGCAGAAACCACAGCAGACATTTTCAAAAGAGCTCGTTATTTTCCTGCTTGGTGATATTTTTTAATATTTATTTTTGTATTATTTTCTGTTTGTTTGGTTTTAAATTTTCTTTTTCCTTCTTTTTATTTCTTAATTTTTCTTATTTTTTCTTTCTTTGTTTATTCTTTTCTTTTCTTTTCTTTTCTTTTCTTTTCTTTTCTTTTCTTTTCTTTTCTTTTCTTTTCTTTTCTTTTCTTTTCTTTTCTTTTCTTTTCTTTTCTTTTCTTTTCTTTTCTTTTCTTTTTTCTTTTCTTTTCTTTTTTCTTTTCTTTTTTCTTTTCTTTTCTTTTTTTCTCTTTTCTTTTCTTCTTTTCTTTTCTTTCTTTTCTTTTCTTTTCTTTTCTTTTCTTTTCTTTTCTTTTCTTTTCTTTTCTTTTCTTTTCTTTTCTTTTCTTTTCTTTTCTTTTCTTTTCTTTTCTTTTCTTTTCTTTTCTTTTCTTTTCTTTTCTTCTTTTCTTTTCTTTTCTTTTCTTTTCTTTTCTTTTCTTTTCTTTTCTTTTCTCTTTTCTTTTCTTCTTTCCTTTTCTTTCTTTTCTTTTCTTTTATTGTCCTTTTCTTTTCTTTTTTCTTTTTTTTTTAATTCTCTCTTATGTTTCTTTCTTTTCTTTTTGTCTGTTTTTTCTTTTTCTTTCTCTTTATTTTTATTTTTTACTTTTCTTTTGTATACTCCCCCCCCCCAATAAACAACTAAGACTTCCTTATTACCGGCGGGGTGGGGGGGAAAGAATCACTTCAAGGAGTTGTTAAACTACCACAGGGTATTGATGAGGATCAACCGGGAGGTGGGAATCAGCAGCGCATAGAACCCAGCTTGCAGTCCCAAGCCGGTGCTAGACCCCGCCGCGGGGGTTTCATGCCCCAAGGCCCTGTAGCCCCCTTCCGCACCGTGACCCTCCTCACAGCGCAGCTCCGCGGTTGTAGCTACCATTGAGAACGGGACTTTCGGGTTGCAGAACGCAAAGCTGCGCTGAGGAAGCCACTCCTGGTCCCACACGGACACCTCTCCAGCACGCTGCTTCTTCCCTCCTCTTCCTCCCACAAGACAACCCCCAAACAAACCCCCTTCTCCTCCTACGCGTGTTCCCTAAAACTGGGATGGGAAGGAGGGCAGGACACTCCTTCTAGCGCAGGAGAAAACCCTTCTCGCTTTGATTTGGCAGGAGGCAGCGCCATCCGAAGCAGACACCTTGTGCCTGCTCAGGGGCGAAGGCATCCCCCCCCGCCTCCTACCTTCCACCTTCTCACCCTGCTATCGAAATTCATCGGTGTTAAACCGGGAAAGCAGCACCAAAACTCACCTGGACACATTCCTGTGTAACATTATCTAGGTGTTCCTGCTCCGGCAGGGGGATTGGACTAGATGATCTTTTGAGGTCCCTTCCAATCTCTAGCATACTGTGATACTGTGTGTGTGAAAACCCCGCACTTTGTTGTATGTGTGTCCGGCCGCGCGGTTAACACCAGTTTTCCATCCCGACATCAGTGTTTGCTCCCGACCCCCGCACCCTCTGGAGGGACGCACGTCGTAACAGTGCATAACATGGTGCCTATTGCATATTATGATTGATAATCACCGTTATTATTAAAAGAAAGCACAAAGAGACCAACCTGCTGACCGGAGAGGTCCCCTCTGCCCAGCACAGAAGGGCGGGCGAGGGATGCTGTTGGGAGGGAGCAGCGGAGAGCGGGGCGTTGCTGCCCCCTGGCGGCGCAGCATGCAGCTACTCCCGCTGGGCACCAGCGGCGCCGGAGGAGCGCGGAAAGAGTAGAAAAAGCAGAGGAAAATGAATAATAACAGTAATAGAAAGGACCCGCGAGGGAGGCCTGAGAGAACAAATGCACCCTCGCCATCGCTGATATCCCCGGGGAAATAACATAAATAAAATAAAAAAATAAAAAATAAACAGAAAATAAAATAAATAAAATAAACAGGAATAGGGAGAGGGAGGGAAGGCAGGAGGAGAGGAGAGGAGATGAGAGAAGAGAGAATGGAAGAGAAGGGAAGGGATGGGAAGAATCAGAACAGGCCTGAAAATAAAAGAAATTTTCTGCTTTTCAAAAGTTGCCCTAAACTTTGGAAAACCACCAGGGAATGTGGTCAGGAGGTGTGCACCTCCCTGTAGGTGCAGGCTGTGGTGGGTCTGGCTGGAACAGCCTGGAGCCAAAGCAAAAAATAGGGCAAAAAAGTGGAAATTTGGAAATGGTG